ATAATTGGGAGTCCCACGTTGATTAATTTAGGGAATGATCATGAGTTTATAAGTAAGGAATACATCTCCACTAAAAGAGGCCTCTTTGGGAAGCCCAAAGTAAAGCCATAAGAGCTTATGCTCAAAGTGGACAATATCATACCATGCCCTTAATTTAGTCATGTCAATAGAATCCTCAAATGTCGAACAAAGAAGTTGTGAGCCTCGAAGGTGTAGTCAAAAGTGACTCAAGTGTCGAACAAAGGGTGTACTTTGTTCATGGACTCCAGAGAAGGAGTCGAGCCTCGATTAAGGGGAGGCTGTTCGAGGGTTCCATAGGCCTCATGAAGAGGCTTTATAGTGTACTTTATTCGAGGGGAGGATTGTTGAGGGTTGTTAGGAGGGAGTCCCACATTGACTAATTTAGGGAATGATCGTGAGTTTACAAGTAAAGAATACATCTTCATTGGAATGAGGCTTTTTGGGGAAACTCAAAGCAAAGCCATGAGAGCTTATGCTCAAAGTGAACAATACATGGAGAGTCGTGATTCCTAACGAACATTATAAGGTGTATGTAATTCTTCTTTAATCTTGGTGTTGGTTTTCTTGAACAGGTAAGGGAAGCAATAGGTGTGACTCTCTCTGTTGTTTGCTCAAACATTAGACTTCTTGCATCTCATCCTCATGATCAACATGAAGATGTTCGTGTTGAACTTAAAGAAGAAAGATGGGTTAAGCTATTTATTGAACGTGCAACTCAGGCAGTAAAGAACATACACAACTCGAGCCATTCGTCTAACTTGGACGCATCAAAGGACAATGAAGTTCAAAATGGACACTCGAACGTTGATTCAGAAGATGATGTCAAATGGATGGAAACGGTAAATATGATAGCTATTTGTTTTGAACTTTCAAGAATCTATCATTTATTGAACTCTCTTCCACTTCTGCAGCTATTCCATTTTCTCATATCATCAATGAAGTCCGGAAGGTCATCTCATTTGTTAGATGTTATTGTGGGTCTTCTATATCCTGTAATTTCGTTGCAGGTATGCAAAACCGAACTTTACTATTGCGCATATTTGATTGATTTAATTGCAAGTTGCAAAATTTTCGAACATTTAGAGAGTTTGATGGACTTTGATCGATAAAGAGACTCGTGCGTTTTGTTTCTTGTGTCGTCTTGTCTCCTTAGAACTCAAGAACACCATTGTACAACTTATAGAACAGATCTTATTCAAATACTATGTATCGTTACTTAGAATCATTATTCTTTGGTTATGAAGGAAACATCAAATAAAGATTTGTCAACATTAGCAAAGGCAGCTTTTGAATTGCTTAAATGGAGGGTCTTCTGGGAACCCCATTTGCAGAAGGTTATATCTGTAATTCTCTCTTCAGCTGGTGATTCTAACTGGAGAACAAGATCTGCTACCTTGACATATCTTCGGTCATTCATGTACAGGTAGACTGTTCGTTGGCTGTCCGATAACTCTACTTCGAAGCAATGCCTCTGTTCTTTAAATTAGTTCCACTTGGAAATAAGATGTCGATTGGGAAGGAGAACGAAGCATTCTTTATAAGGGTGTGGAAACCTCTCTCTAGCAGATGCGTTTTAAAAACCTTGAGGGGAAGCCCGAAAGGGAAAGCCCAAAGAGGACAATGTTGGCTAGCGGTGGGCTTGGGCTTGGGCTTAGGCTTGAGTTGTTACACATGGTATTAAAGCCAGACACTAGGCGGAGTGCCAACGAGGACGTTAGGCCTCCAAGGGCGGTGGATTGTGAGATCCCACATCAGTTGGAGAGGAAACGAAGCATTCCTTATAAGAGTGTGGAAACCTCTCCCTAGTAGACGTGTTTTAAAAACCTTGAGGGGAAGCCCGAAAGAGAAAGCCCAAAGAGGACAATATCTACTAGTGGTGGGCTTGAGTTGTTACAAATGGTATCAGAGCCAGGTACCGGGCGATGTTCCAACGAGGACGCTGGGCCTCCAAGGGGGTGGATTGTAAGATCCCACATCGGTTGAAGAGGAAAACGAAGCCATTCCTTATAAGATTGTGAAAACCTTTCCCTAGTAGACACGTTTTAAAACTGGGAAGCTGACAGTGATACGTAACGGGCCAAAGCGGACATATTTGCTAGCGGTGGGCCTATGTTGTTACATAAAACTTCGAATCAAGTCCTTGTTCTGTGATGCCATTCTCTTAACCTCTCAATTTTGTTCGATATTGAATTAATTTTAGTATATTTTTTACCCTTTTTCTGGTAATAAACACAGGCACACGTACATTCTCACAAGTTCAGAGAAACAACAAATTTGGAGAACTGTCGAGAAGCTTCTTATAGACAGCCAAGTCGAGGTAAGTTCCTGATTCGTATTTATTAACAATTATGCGAGTATGTTAAGAAAACAATTATCTTCTGTAGTTCAAATGTAGTCCGACTCGGTTATATCAATGCACTAGGCTTCGCTGATAGCGATTTTGTTACTTAATAAGCCCCTTGGCCAAGGACTCGATTCGTATCATCTTTTGATAACGTACCTAATATTTGAATCAGATACGAGAGCATGCTGCAGCAGTTCTAGCAGGCCTTATGAAGGGCGGGGACGAAGATCTGGCTAGAGATTTCCGTGAGCGAGCGTGCAGGGAAGCAAATAATCTCCAAGCAAAGAGAAGAAAGAGGTTAATTTCAAGTCCCATATAAATGTCATCTACCTTATAAAAGAACGTCATTGATTACTTTCATCGGCATGTTTTTATCCTTAGGAATGTGAAATGATAATCAATGTCTTGTATGTTTGACATTTTAGTATGGCTTTAATGCTATATTGGTATGTATTCCACACTTATTGCACGTACTATCGTCTCAGAATTTTATGTTGTCGATTTCAGAAATTTAAGTTCGGGTCAGTCTCTAGCTACGGTTCACGGTGCGGTACTTGCTTTGACAGCTTCTGTCTTGTCAGCTCCTTACGATATGCCGAGGTATGTCTGCTTATTCATGAAAGCTTGTTTTGTAATATACTTGGGACAGCCAAGCTTGTTAATCGATATCGTAAGCATTTTACTCGTATAGAGTTGTTAGGAATTACGGACGGCCACAATAGTATGATATCGTCCACTTAGAGCGTAAGCTCTCATGGCTTTACTTTTGATTTTCCCAAAAGATCTCATACTGATGGAGATGTATTCCTTACTTATAAAACCCATGATTATCCCCTTAATCAGCCAACGTGGGACTCCTCCCAACATTCCTCAACAATCCTCCCCTCGAACAAAGTATGGAGCCTTCGAACAGCCTCCCTTTAATCGAGATTCGACTCCTTATCCATATGGAGTACTTGAACAAAGTATACCCTTTATTCGACACTTGAGTCACTTTGGAATACAACTTCTTTGTTCGAGAATTCTATTGACATGACTAAGTAAGGGCATGACTCTGATACCATGTTAGGAATCGCGAACCTCCACAGTGGTATGATATTGTCTACTTTAAGCATAAGCTTTCATGGCTTTACTTTTGGTTTTCCCAAAAGACCTCGTATCAATGGAGATGTATTGCTTACTTAAATTCCTCCGAACATTCCTCAACGGTGGTTTTCCTCGTTAGTTCAATCCCTACCCATGCTAAATATGTTGGCTGATTCCAAGTTAGCTAGGGTGTATGATCATTCAACATACTTAGCACATCCACGTGACAACCCGAACGGTTTAAGTTTAGGTTTCCCGCTTGGGATCTTCTCTGGGACTGGTTTGGGGAGTTTTGCTAGTTGAACCATCTGAACTATATAGACATATGAATTCATACAATTTCTTGTATCTACTACTATTTCAGTTGGCTGCCCGAGTGCGTCACTCTGCTCGCTCGGTTCAGCGTGGAGCCATCACCTGTGAAAGTTACTGTAACAAAAGCCATTGCGGAGTTTCGAAGGACTCATGCCGATACTTGGAACATTCAGAAAGATTCATTTAATGAAGAACAACTAGAGGTGGGATGATTCATTTAGCATGACATATTCGATATTTCGAGATCGATCGACGCTTATTATCCTTGTGTTTTGCAGATTCTGGCAGATACGTCCTCATCATCATCATACTTCGCTTGATCAAATAGTGTACAATTGGGTGGAAAAAGATATAGTTAAAAAGAATGTAGTGAGTCGATATTCTTGTATAAACATTATTGATCATATTCTATTGCAGCCCTCGTTATCGAGCTGTCTCGGTTCAAAGTTGCATTGCATTGTTCGAGGCTCGTAGAATTTAGTAACGAGATGAAGCGCCACTGTCCCTACTGCCTTCATCTTCTGGTACATTCGGACTATCTAAAATGAATGTTCTTAGCCACGTCTCATTGCTTTCTATTATTATTTGCTCTTATATAAGCACATAACTCAACTAATTAAAATATTATATTCTAGACGAAAAAAATTGAATAATAAATTATTAATTTATTTTTTTGCTTCACTTCTGTTATTTTTTTACCTTATTTCCAATAAAACTAAGTAAAATAATTGAAATAATGAGGTACAATTTTTATTTTATAATATTTTGAGTAAATGGATAGTTAATAATTACCTTGAGTTACAAAATACATTTTGATAGTTGTTATTTAAATTAGTTTTTTTTTTTATTTTTATAATTTGTGTCTATTACGGTGACGGATAAGAATGTCTCGTGATCATAATCATATTCATTTTTCGATCTTTTTTGTATTTGATGAGTAATTTTACAATCGAAATTTTGAATACTACACTAATATCACGCTTGAAAGTTAATTAGTATTTTTTTAAAAAAAGTTTAAAATTATTATTAAAAAAAGAATATTTTTAGAACCATATGAAATTCAAGAGTAATTTTATTAATTTAACGGATTTTAGTGCCAAGTTTAAGAACTCAAAAACTCGAAAGCAACGATGCTAGAACGTTTGGGACAAAAAATGTATTTTTGTTCTATAATTTATCATATTTCTTTGTCTCACTCATATAAAATGGAAGAGGGAAAAAAAAAATTGCTGGAGTTGTAAGGCTTTGTTGAATGATTTAGAAATTCTGTTTTATTTTCATCTTCCTCAGACTATTGCATTCATCAGATCATCACATGGTAAATCCCACAACACTGAGTTTGAACTGAAAATACTTGTCCTATTTCTCATCTCTTTGCCACTCTCTGATAGCTCTTCTTCTGTTTCTTCAAGAATTTCATGCAGTTGCCCCTGTTGTTTGGCCGTGCACGTACTTCCCGTACATAAGCTCTGGCTCCATGATGACCCGTCCCCCTCGGTCCCGAACGACAGTGGAGCGTATTGGAACTCCGACGTTGATGCAGGAAAACAATTGCTTGTCCCTACTGCATCAGTAGAATTCCAAGGCTTATAAGGGGAGATGAGATCAGGCTGTTGAATGGCTCTTGACAAACCAAGTTTGATATTCTCAACAGTACCATCTTTCTCATTTTGTTTGCCGTGAATGTACGTTCCTGTCGTGCTTCCGGGCGGTACGTTAGCTTGTTGAAGCTGGAAATCGACGCGCTTCTTTGTAAGAAGGTGAAGCATTTCGTCTTTGAAGCAGCCGAGCGCTGCTTCGGCAAGATGGGAAACTTGTGGAGGAGCCAGAGTGGTGGCGATTTCAGCCATGAGATGGGAGAATGGCTTGTGAGTGACTGGATCAATGCCCATTCCTGATAGCTTCTTCTTCAACTTAGTGTTCCAGTGATTCTTGACATCATTATCGGTTCGACCAGGTAACTGAGCTGCAATCAATGACCACCTGCAGGGTCGAAATTGATCCTCTTTTATACAACAAAGTCATAATACACAATTAATAAGCAATGTTTGTTGGAAATGACCCAGGATCGAAATATGTAACGGCCCAGGCCCACCGCTAGCAGATATTGTCCTCTTTGGGCTTTCTCTTTTGGGTTCCCCTCAAGGCTTTAAAACACGTCTGCTAAGGAGAGGTTTCCACACCCTTATAAAGGGTGTTTCGTTCTCCTCCCCAACCAACATGGGATGTCACAAAATATATCGAAACAAATAACTAAAGCAGGAAAGAGCTTTTGAAAGAAGGAACCTTAAGCACTTATGCTTTTCAATTCTCTCGGTTGTTGTGAAACTAGCATACATCTCATGAGTATTTATACGGAGAAGGCACAACTAGTTTAATTTGCTACACTTTCTCCTCAAGTTAAGCAACTACTAACCATTCCCCTCAACAAAAGACTAACAATTTCTCTGGGACGCTCAAAAGCAAAGCAGGCAATATCATATCATTGTGGAGATCCGTGATTCCTAACAATATTGACGTTAAGAAGATAGTGTACCTGTTGCCAACGACAGAATGTAGCTTGACAATAGTTTGTTCTTCCATATCAGAAAACTGGCCATGCTTCAGGTCAGGGCGAAGGTAATTAGTCCAACGTAGCCGACAGCTCTTCCCACATCTTTGGAGACCTGAATATGATAGCAGCATTAGGCATTGAGGAAGGTAATGACTTGAAATGTTTGTAAAGAGAGAAAGTGATACCAGCATTCTTGGGGATAAGGCGCCAGTTTCGAGTGCCGTGCTGGACGATGTAGGACGACAGCTTGTTATCTTCTTCAGGAGTCCACTGTCCTCTCTTAACATTTTCCTTCTCACAGCACGGAATTCTGCCCATTTGTCTTTCTTTTCTTTTCTGTATTTCTCAGTAATTTTTTTTTTTTTTTTTTTTTTTTTTTGTTCAGACAAAGAAAAAGAGGGTGTTCTTTTTGTATTATGGGAAGAGAGTAGATTGGGATTGTTATATATAATGGAGAGTGGGAAATGAGAAGTGATTGCATGGGGTTTGGTTATATGGAAAAAGAGAGAGTGAGAGAGAGAGAGAGGGGCATCAAAGGTGCATGATTTTATTAAAAAATTCAACGCCATTGAGCGTGTGAGATGGTGGGTAGCTCACTCTTCAGACACCAGGTCAACCCTCTCTCTACCTCTCCCCATCTTTCTCTCTCCTCCACTCGTTGACTCTTTTCCAGGGTCATAATAAAACAGGCCAGGGTCATAATAAAACAGGCCGATATGAATCGAAATATGTCGAAACAAATGAAATAACCAAAAAAGGACAACGTGAAGGGAGAGAGCTTTTGAATAGAGGAACCTTAAGCACTTATGCTCATTAATTCTCTTTGTTGTTGTGAAAAGAGTATTTACTGAGAGAAGGCACTAACTAACTTCTTAAACTTTGCAATCTTCCTAATCAAAGTATAAAACTTAGTATACAATTTGGCAACTACTACTACCAATTTTCTTGTAGTTTCTCCATAAGTCAGTAACTTATTCTACTAAATCTACAGACAATTCTCCTCCCTCAATCACTTAGTGACTTATTTTACTACTCTCACAAATAAGGGGGTTTGATTACATACCTAGAGCAAGAAAGTTACGACAATTACAGTTATAAGAGTCGCCGACTACAAGAGTTCAAAGTTCGAGTTCATTGGTTGTCTCATAATCCACCCAGTTACGACAAAGGAAGGAATCTGCAATAATTTTCCATACAAGATCAGAAGGGAACAAGAAAATGTATAGCAAATCCATACTCCTAGCGACTTATTCTGACATAGCTGATTCTAAATCAGTCGATGAAAGTGCAGCATTAGCCACGTGACACAAGGAACAATAAAACAGTTTCAGGACATCGCAATGCAGATTCAAATTCAGAGAAACATCACATGCTTTAATACAATGACGAAGTGACAGAAGGTCAATAAAAGTTAAAATTTTTAGAGTACAGAAAGTAGAAGAAGTAAGGACTCTGAGCCATTGTGTTCTAATGGAAACAATCACTTACCCCGAACATAGATATCTGGGTTGATGATCCGATAGCTACGCCCAGAGAAATATCCTGCCAAGAAAGTTGACATCGCATCAGTCCTGGATGGACAATATGTTCTAAAGCTGACAAGCTTACCTTTCTTAGCCAATTCTTGCATTCAGCAGCATCCCCCATAATCGGAAGTCAGTATAACACTAATAAACGACACTGGGATTTTCAGTGATTCAGATGCAATACGTAAAAGAAAAGTTGGAGCCTTTCTCAGATAACCAGAAGGTGATTAAACATAGTAATACTTCAATTGCATCTACCAAATATTCTGATAGAACAGAGATCCGAGGCAGTCAAAATTGATAGTACGGGGAAAGTTAAATTCAGATTACCTTGTTGATCAAATATCTCAAAGAAAGAACACTTGATTGAGATTCGAATCACTTCACAAGCAAGGTCCATCATGTCAAGCTTGAATGATTCTAAACATGCAATCTAAACTGCATAGAATTGCAAAGAAACTTATGACCATAATTAGCTATTATATAAATAAGTCTTAAAATACATTAAAGAAACACCATAACTCTAAATTATCATCCACCCAAAATTTGTAACCATCTAAGAACAAATGAAGTCTCACTTGAAGTATCTTGAAGACCTTGTTCATAGAAAAAGCTTGATTCTTGTTAATGTGCCAAAATGGCATGATTGACATATCTCTGATGTTCTTCCTAGCTCAATAAAATGTGTAATGCTAAGCATACGTAAAAAAAATCATGTAAGTGGGGGTGAAAAGAGATGACACTGGTAAACACAGTAGCATCCAATTCGACTCATGGTAACCATACTGACCAAGCAAAACAAGAACTACAACGTTTAGGTTTTTTGAGGATTTTTTTTTAATCAGGATTTCAAACTGAGATATGACTAAGACCCTTGCACCCGCCCCGAACTTCTATAAGGGGCGTATAGGATAACTAGATTGACCAACTACCGAGTGTTAGATATTAAACTTGTTTCATACATTTATAGATATATGAATCTATGAGATACATGCACATGAGAGAATTGAAGAGTCATGATGTTAGAAACCACGGATCTCCACAATGGTATGATATTGTCCACTTTGAGCGTAAGCTCTCATGGCTTTGCTTTGAGCTTCCCCAAAATGCCTCATACCAATGGAGATAGTATTCCCCACTTATAAACCCATGATCTTCCATTAAATTAACCAATGTGGGACTCACTTCCAATAATCCTCAACAATCCTCCCCTCAAACAAAGTACACTATAAGCCTCCCCTGAGGCTTATGGAGCTCTCGAATAGCCTCCCCTTAATCAAGACTCGACTCCTTTCTCTGGAGCCCCCGAACAAAGTACACCCTTTGTTCGACATTTTAGTCACTTTTGACTACACCTTCGAGGCTCACAATTCTTTGTTCAACATTTGAGGATTTTATCGACATGGCTAAGTTTAGAGCATGGCTCTGATACCATGTTAGACGAACACGACTCTCCACAATGGTATGGTATTGTCCACTTTGAGCATAAGCTCTCATGGCTTTGCTTTGGGCTTCCCCAAAAGGCCTCACACCAATGGAGATAATATTCCCCACTTATAAACCCATGATCTTCCACTAAATTAACAACGTGGGACTCACTCCCAATAATCCTCAACACATGAGAGTTAGATTCATTTGGTAGATACATGTATTAGATTATTCATGTATCACTTGTATCACCATAATGATAGCACATGAATTAGGTAAATTCCTTATTTAATATTTCGTATATGTACAGTAATGGAAGATGTTCCAAAAAGCCTATTAAGAACGATCTATGCAAAGATTTATTATCAACTTTATAATAGAATACATCTCTTATTCCAAATAATAAAAACAATGTATTTGGTGACAATTTTGCTATATGGAGGAAGAGATGTATTCTATTTCAAAGTTGATAATAAATTTCTGCATAGATGATCCTTATATAGGCCTTTTGGAACATCCTCATGGTCATTCATGTACCAAATATTAAATAACGAATCTACCTCATACATGTACTATCATTATGGTGGTACATGAACAATCCAATATATTATCAATCAATGAATCTAACTTTCATGACTCTTCAATTAATAATCATGTACATGTATCCGACAAATTCATGTATTTGTAAATGCATGAAACAAGTTTAATATCTAACATTCTCCCCTTCTAAACTTGTTTCATCATGAACTTGGACGTCAAGCTTCTTCCTTCCAAGCTTCTTCCTCATGTTGAAAGGCATCCGACCTTAATACTTTTGTAAATATGTCAAAAATTTGATCACTCGAACTTACATGGTGCAATTCTACTTGTCTTGTCTTCACATGTTCTCTCATGAAGTGAAATCGAGTGTCAATATACTTTGATCTCTCGTGATGAAACAAATTCTTGGCTAGAGCTATTGCTGACTTGTGACTTGTAATTAATGCAAATCTTGGTTGCTTCTTCTTGTTTTAACTCCATTTTCTCCGATAATCTTCTCAACCATATAGCATGACAAATGCAAGCATATGGTTAAAAAGCTGCATAGATTACTTCTTCGATGACCAAGTAAATGCAGTGTCGCCAAGATAAAATAAGAACCCAGTTGTACTTCTTCAATCTTCATGACTTTCGATCCAATCACTATCGCAGCAACCAACCAACTCAAGATTGCAATTTCGCAAGTAAATCCATATTCAACTGTCCCCTTTTTATGTAACTGAGAATCCTCTTTGCTGCCTTCAATATGAGGTTCTTGGTGTCTCCATAAATCTACTTACAAGTCCTACTCCAAATAGAATGTTAGGATGAGTGCAAGTCGAGTACCTTCGACAATCCATTAGACTTTTGAAATAAATCGGGTTAACCAGCTTCCCTTCACCTTTGTTAATCTGAGACCACACTCAACAGGTGTGTCTATCGGCTGACAGTCTTAGACTGGGAAATAAAAATCCCATCTACATCTTGTTGCATCTCAAATGCCTAGGAAGTACTTCATCAAACTTTAGTCTATCATCTCGAACTCCTTCTCCATTGAGTGCTTGAGTTCTTGGATCATAGAGTTGTTGCTTCCTACAAACATCAGGTCATCAACACACAAACAGACAAACAACACTTTTCCAAGTGAGTTCGGTTGGAGCAATGTAAAGTTTTTATGGAAAGGGGGCAGAACTCTCTCCATACTCAAATCGGTTTTGTTGGAGGAAGAGATGTGTTCTATTCTTAAGTTCTTTGTTTTTTTTATTTTGATAAAATTGAAATCTTTACGTAGGTGATCCTTATATAGGCCTCAGGAACATCCTCTATGATCATTTATGTACCAAACATTAAATAATGAAACTATCTAATACGATGATATATGAATGATCTAATACATTTATCCACCAAATGCTAACCCCAAAATGTATCCAATGAACTTCCTTTTCGACAATTGTCCATGTGCACCCTATAACTAATGATGAATCGAGTTTATTCGTTAACAAGTTCACCTTTGCATATAAGAAACGCTCATAAGGGCATTTCACAACTCCTTGCAGTATGCATCAGTTCTTGAGTTCCATGCTCTCTAGGCTTGCTTCAGTTGGCAAAGAGCTTCTTCAATTTGTATACCTTCTCCTCTTGTTCTTCTATAATAAACTCCGGTGGTTGTTCAACACAAACTTCTTCTTCAAGTTTTTCATTCAAGAATGCGAACTTCCCATCCACCTTCATTGGGTCGTGAGTGAGATCAACGATTTCACTGTATTTAGTCTCGCAACTGGGGCAAAGACCTCATTGTAGTCAATCCCATGCTTTTGCTTATAGCCCTTCACAACCAACCTTGTTTTATGGTGCTCTATTGCACCTTTTGCATCTCTCTTAGCCTTATATACCCATTTAACACCAATGATTTTTTAGCCTTGTGGAAATGATGTGAGCTCCCACGTGATATTTTTCTTTATGGAGTGAATCTCCTTCTCCATAGCTTTCTTCCACTTTGCCTTCTTATTTTTCTTCTCAAACCTCCAGGGATCAAAACCGGTAAAGACACAAAAATGGTTGAACTCCTCCTTACTTTCAATCAGAGTCATAGATCTCTTGGATGTTTCTTGTCTTGTGTCCTAGACTACTAAACTCATCATGGTATGAGTCATCATCAAGAGTACTAGACGATGATACTCTTTTCTCCTCCTTACAATCAAGAGAAATATAAATCCCTTCGTCAGTTGTCTTCCACTCCTAACTCAGATTTTCATCGAACTTAACATCTCTCGACATCACGAGTTCGCGAGTCACAAAATTATACCATTTATATCCGTTGCAGTTCCCACCACAACCCAATAATATGCATCTTTGGTTTTTATCTTCAAGTTTCATGCGTTTCTCCTCCTAAATCTTTGCATATGCAACACTTCCAAATATTATGCACAAGACAGCTCAAAGATAGCCCCATTAAGCCCCATAAGGTTAAATATTAAGCAAAAGAAAGCGCAAATTAAAATTAATATCTACCATGATAATGGATAACATAAAAAGAAAAAATTGATGGATCATAATCAGCCTCATAAATGGAAGAATAAAGACTCGTCTAACATTTCAATGGGAAGAAAAGATAAGCAGCATAAGCCAGAAACATAATGCACCTGCTGAATCTCGAGTGCCAATTTCGACTTCCCAAAATGGGATTCACTGTGGCTGTAGTGAAGAAGGGCAGTAAAAAGCAGGCCCATGACAGCCATTAACAACAGACCTAAGTTGACAACAGCAGGTGCCTGGATAAGATTTCAGTTTTAGCACAGAAAGTAGCTTATAAATTTGTACCTTTTTCATAGAAAACAATCCCACCAAAGAAGAATGCACAACCAAGCACCAGGAACATGTTCGACATAATTAAGGATAGTAATTATAGCTGAACAGCACGTATCATTTGACTTCAGTGCCAAAATTGATATAATCAGTTCTGTTGCATTTCCAAAAGTAGCATTAGTAGACCCCCTGCTGCAGATTCATGCTTTATGTCAGCACTGAAAATTGAACAAATAATGAATTCATTATATAACCAAATCAAAAGAAAACAGGACATACATGGGACAGTCGTGTACATTAAGCCCAGCCAACTTGAAACCTTCAAGAAAGTAATTCATGTTCTTTGAAACCTCAGTTACTAAACCAGTTAAAAAGGTTCTCCACCTCCAACCCTTCTACTCAATTATCATGATATGGAAGCCACATGTAACAACAAGAATCCTTCAGTTCAAAATGAGTATACAATTAATTTTAACCAATCTGCCAAGAGGTGGGAAAACAGAACGTGGTTTGTGCATATCTTTGTGTTGAGGTTAATTCAGATGTCCAAATATTAGAGCATTAACGCAGCTGGTTAGTTTGAATATCCTATTAATACAAATCCAGGGAAACCTCAAATTGATGTATCAGCCAATGAAGAACCATATTTGTTCAAATTCAAAAGTGTACAAGATAATCAAAACAAAAGAGAACAAATACGAAGCGTAATTCGAGGCCGAAGAAAGGAATAGATGATATGCAAAGAATCTACTTCTAGCATAGAGTATGAAGGTCGCCAATAAGAAGACAGAAAATTGTACTCTTAAATGCCACAACTAAAATACTCTAATACCACTTGTTGTGCCGTAATGCCACAATCAAAATGGGCACAATCAAAATGTTATGGTTCTGGTACCTAATTGTTGTATCACGTCTTGTGATCAATGATGTTCATCATTTCAGAATACCTTAAATACCACATGGTGCTTTGGTACTACTTGTTGTACTCTTAAATGCCACAACCTTCAATGTTTTGATACCCCATTGTTGTAGCAAAAGCAGAAGCTCACACTCGCACACCCACAAACAGAAATTAAATAAAGAGACACAAAGATTTATGTGGTTTGAAGAGAAGAAATTCCTCTACATCCATAAGTGGTAGCCAATCACTATAACCAAAGTGTTTACAAGTATATCTCTTACGCTCTCACACTACAAAGTCTCACAACAAAATTCCTCCCAATTGCCTCTAGGCAAATACAAAATGACAATGACTCCTCCTCTTAAAACAATGCTAGACAAATCTTTGTATAGACATAACAATACTAATCCTCATATATGAACTAAATAAATGAGAATATGAACTAAAAGAGTTATGATCCAAATGAGAGTCAATAACCAAAATAAATGAGAGTTAATATGAACTATGAACTAAATAAAATACATCTTCTAGACAAGTTACAACAATTAGTTCGTTGTGTCTTACCATAAATGGCAGTGAAAGCAAAACAAAAGAGGTTGAAGAGACTTGAAGCCAACTCAGGTGAGCAAAAATTTGGCGAAGAAAAATCCTGAACACCGAAGAAACCAAAAAACAAGGTTCGGTTGTCATCGATCGGCTACCCCGACACCAACAGGACAGGGACAAAAAAATTGTACGCTTTTTGAACGCAGAATTGGAATGGCGTGCAATGGAATTCGAAGAAAGTTTAGGATGATGAGCCACAATCACTCGAAAGAGAAGAGGAGCGATGGAACGGCGAATTGCTGCGAAGTTTGAAGCCATCGTCTTCTTTGGAAGATTGTCGTCTCTGTGATTTTCACGTCTGTCTTTCAACCACTAACGTTCGTTCATTTATTTATTTATTTAAGATGAATGGATTAGTCATTTAATATGGCAATTAGTATTTTTTTCCCTACTAAATAAATTTTTAATTCAAATAATACGTTCCGTTCATGAAAGTAATGAATTTAAAAATTTTTAAATTGGGCGGAGAATTACTTTTCAACGAGTTAATTCCACGGTTTACAATTTTATGGAGTCACGATTATGTTTATTCAAGGCCTGTCACCCTCACCTGCATGTTCACTACACCAAAATCCTTGCCTCGTATCACTTTATTGCTTTCTCTTACTGATAACTTTTCTTGGCAACAAATTTAGCAATGGTGCAATACTTACTCTTACTATTGAGTGAACAAGCCAACGCCTACGTCCAGACAACATATGCTCAAGCCTCTGAACTTGATTGCTATGTATACTTGATTGCTATGTATACTGATGCATCCCCTACCTACAGTCGGACTTTCATGATGTAAATGATATATTTGAAAATAAAATTGTTGATAATCAAATAAAATTTTTGAAAGTCAAAAAATTTGGACAAAAAATAAGGGAGGTGGAACTCTTCTATTCTTTTTTAGCTCCAACCACCACCTACAAAATCTCTCTTTCCCACAACCTTTGTGGGAATCATGAGGAGAAGGAAAATGCAACATATTCCAACAGCTTTTCTCATCTGCCACATCTCTACTCTAGCACAATGACAACAGAAAATCACCCGAAAAAACGAAATGAAACGAAGAGAAACAAAATGTGAGCGAGCCTATGCTACGCCTACTTCACAACAGATTCGACAACGGATCTACACGGTTTCGGTGCCTTTTACAGAAACAAACATGAAAGAGGAGATGTGTATCTATTCTCCATGCTCTATATCTGCACATTAGGGTATTGAAGTGCCACAGAACAAAATTACATACCAAAAAGAGAGGGAAGAATCATTTACAAGTTACCAGCATGGAGTTGACAACATGCATTATAATACGAATGCCAGTGAGCTCAACGGGAGAGATCGTTGACAAGGTCCGTTGATGGTTCAAAATCTGATACACCTGTTCAAAGATGGGTCGTACGTGCATTGCTATCATTGGATCTGTGGGATTAACGGCCGCAGCCACGTCTGTCATCCATCCAATTTTCCGGGATCTATCCTTGTTGATATCACAGGCTAATTGTTGCAGAAGTGACAGCAGTACTCCTTGACTCAAAGCAAGGGGATTTGCCAGAATGGCCCTAAGGTCAACCTGCCAAACAATACAATATATCTTCCTAGTTTAGTGGTTGAAGTGCTCAGAATCAGTAGTTACCCACTGCGGTTTACATTCATAGCAAGATGATCAAAATCAGTGATGCAAGACCACTAACTATGGGATAGCCAGAAAAAGGATCCATCATTCGTTAAGCTTGTAATGGCCTATACTGTCCTAAAACTGACCATACTTTCCAGAACAACCATTCGTAATCGAAAGAAGGCATTCAACATGGTAACGACGGTAACAAAGGAAGAAAAACAAATCTTTGAAGAGGATTCTAGAAGAAGGAATACACAAGAAATATTGAAAAAACAACCACAAGGTGACATCGCACGAACCTAAAAACATAAGCATGCAAAAACCAGTCACTCCATACATTACCTGAGAACATAACCAAGAGACAATATTCACATCACTTCTCTGTAAAGCAGTGGTGAAAGCTTCCTCATATTTCCTTTCAGATAACATTCTTGACAGTTCTTTGGTAGGATCCAAAGGAACCTCAACCTAGTGCATGCGTTGAGAATACATGAGACCAGGCCAGTAGGTGAAATACAAGGAAGAAAAGTAAGAAGAGTAAACCTTCTCATGGAGAGCACCCAATGGTCCATTGCTTAGTTGGGTAACCAAAGGATTCATTGAACTAGCATTTGCTCCAGCAGTTGCAAGGGCTATCAGTTTTCTTTGGCCTTCAGCCAATTCTCCACTCAAGGACTGTGCCATTGTTGATGCCGAATTTATTGCATCCTGTATTTGATGCTTAAATTAGTTCACGGGTGGAAAAAGCAGCAAACAAACAATAATTAATAAAAATAAGGTGATTGTAGAAGGTGCCAAATCATGCTAATCAAATATCATCGTCTTCAACCTTCAAATGTACCTAACAATTCAACTTGGGTTGAAGCAGATACATGAAAATCCAAGGAACTTCAAATAAATCCACCATCCAGATATGCAAAGAAAATCTAAAGTGTTGTGTGGACTTATCTAACATAAAATCCAAAATATGACTTCGTTTATGTCCAGCATGGACCTACAAAACAGGCTTTATCTATGAATTATAGCCAGAACCGATCCTTTATGCAGAGCAGATGGATAAAGTCCACCCATCCTTAGATAGCTAACTACCAATTAATTTTACACATCATAACCATAATAGACGGATAACCATTTCCCATACTGCTCCAAAGTTTTAAAAACATCATGTCATAACTTGATTAGCACATTACTCATAAGGCCGTAAGACGAAAGATAAGCTTCACCATAATAAAAAAGTGAAACACGGGATTATAACTGGGAGTAAATTATATTCTATCAAGAATGTCAGCTCAGCAATTGTACCCTCAAAGCAAGTGCCAATGAAGAATGTGAGGAGTCGAAGTGCTGCAGAGCTGCAGCTGAGTGTTCAACCAGTCCTTTCTGGAAGGTAGAATCTACTTGCTCAAACATGGCTTTGCACGACATTTCAAAGGCAGGAATTACAGATGCTTCAAAACTAGATTTTAGTGCATCCTGCATAAGAAGATTATTATTCTAACCAAAATTCTCAACAACCAAGAGCTGCAAAGAAATATTATCAATGAATTATAGAGAGATGATGGCTTATTAAAAATTAACAAAACCTGAAGAGCTTGCTTGCCGGAGGTTTGAAACTGTGCTTGGATTTGCCTAGCAACAGTTGCTTCAAGCTTTGAGTTGACAGCTTTCTCTAGTTGACTTACTGCCTTGTCGCCTACTCCTCTCTACATCACACAAGCCATGAATAAGGTCCCATGATGAGAACGAAAAAGAGAATAGTCTGTATGCAAATAAATTCAAACCTGGAAGGAATCAGTGATGGCAGAAGAAATTGTTTTCTCAATAGCTGGTGTTATTGTGCGAGCCACAGCAGGTCCAATGGTAGACATTTCCTTCTTCAGAGCTTTCTCTAAAAAGGCAGGCAAGTCCTTGTTTACAAAGTTTGCAACAAGACTAGTTATCTTTTGAGTATTATCACGTAATAATTTCTCATTTTTAGCACTCTCTTCCTGAATCCGGGCCAATAATGCATCAGCATTCGCTTTCAAGGCCTTTTCCATGCTCCGTCCAAGAGCTGCCTCCAGCCTTTTACCTTCTTTAGTAACTGGAACTGCAAGTGTCGTCTGCATCTGCTTTTGCATTTCTTTCTGAGTGCTCATTATCTATACAAAAGTATTTGAAATTATTAACCAATACAATTAGACAGGCCAAAGGGCCATCTAGAATACAATAACTCAAGCAACTAACTCAAATTGTGAAAAAATGGCCATAATGGAATTACTCACTCGGCATGGATCATGAAATTTCTAAAATTAAGTCCATATTATAATTAAATATTTTCCTTTCTAGAGATGGAAGAAAAATGGATATTGACAACTCTGTGCTAAAAGATCTACTAACCCTAACCTGATTCAACGTATCTTGAATGGCCAGTACAGCTTCAGGTGGAGGAAGGCTTGAACTACCGCAAGGTTCAGTGGAAGATTCATTAGAATTGAAAGCACTGGAAGATTGGGAAACCAAGCCTAAGGCTTGAGAATTTTTCCCCTTGTTCTTTTTCCCCTTTGTATTAGGAGTTGGAATTTGAAGAGTTGTTGATATAGATGATTCCGAAACCTTTTCCGACACATCTTTGGCAGATGTTCTATCACCCTCACCAGTTTGGGAGTCTTCTTCTGTGTTTATTGTATTAGCATCAACTTGTGGAGATTCCTCAATGATATAAGTTTCAGATGATAGTGTACTACACTCTCGAGCCACTTCCATACCAAGATCTGAAGCTTGTGAGCAGAAAATTTTTTCCTTGTTCTCTGGAGAAAGGTTTTGAGGCTCACCTCTACGACCATATTCACCATTCTGAGGGGACTTCATTTCTACCTCTTTAACCTCCAGCTCTGTATCTTCAACGTCATTGTTAACCACTACGTCCTGGATATTTGTCTCTCCCTCACTCTTACCTTCAGTGACATTCGTTGTTTCAGAGGAAGAAACAGCCATCAGTATCTCAGAGGGGGTAATAAGATGAGTTGGATGCTTAAACACAATCGGAGGATTTAGGACATTAGACAGATCTTCCCGTGCAATTTTCTCCTCGATGATTCTGGACTCATCATCCAGGGAAGACACTCCCGACAAATTTGTGTGAATGGCATCCATTTGTCGATTGACTGAAAAGTCATTACCACGTCGGTCACCAGCATGATCACTAACTGCAGTAATAGGCTCAAAGGAAACCACTGGACTTCTAAAACCAGACAGATTTCTAGACAGGCGTGGGCTCAAAGGAAGAGGAGGTGATGCAGTAGAGACAATGTCTGTGTTACTAGCTACAGGTGACAGTGTAGCAGGTTTAGATTCCGTATTTGCAATGGATGCGGCATCCTGAGAAGTGGTGCTTGCAGGATATCTTTCTGCAGAAGCACTTTCAGAGCCATTGACTAGCGCTGAACCCCTGGGTGTAGAACTAGTGAAGGGTGTGTCAGTTGGCTTGCTCCCAGACGGAAACAAGGCAGCCAGTCCTTCAACCCCAGCAGAATCTTGTGAAACATTAGAATCTGCCTTTTCTAACACCACATTGTCCAATGGTGGGGGTAAGCACTGAGATAAGTCTAAAGCATACTGCTGTATTGCTTGTGTTTGTACGCAATAGACCTGGACAATATGTGTTAGACGGTCTAATATCTCACTCGTTCCCGTAAAACTTAA